GGCCGCAGATCTAATAGTGTGGGAATAGAGTGACATTCCACAGGCATTCCGAGTATGTTTATGGGCCTACCGGAGTTTTTCAAGGACTAGTTTCGCCCCCTTGGTGGAAGAAGCTCAGCGGGCGTGATGTGTGTAGTTGATCCGCGTATTCGAGAGTTATACTCTTAGTCTTTATCGGATCGATCGTAGGGCGTCTGCCTGAGCGTAAACCGATAATGTTGTGGTAACGCACAGTTTGTATACTTTTTCGGTCATCGAAATGAGAGTCCACCGTAACGGACTGATCATAGTGTTGTGTTGTCGAGCTGGGCATCCCATTCGGACCGGTGCCAACGGGAGGTAACAGGTTATCAGAAGAGCATTCAATAAGCCAGCGCAACACGGTGTGTATGTTTCATCGATCGCCGGAATTGAACTCGCGTGCATCAGTTTAGAAGTGCTGAGCTCGACTGCTTGACTATTTTGTCGTTTTTGAATCTCCGTTGTACTTCTATAGGGTTCTAGTTCATCGCATTCGAATATCAGAGAACTATCCCCTGTAGTGCTACAGAGGGTCCTTGTGATTTACTCACCGAGACAGTGGGAGACCGAGGAAATCGTGGAAGGGTGGCCGAATGACGACGTTGAGCTTTTTGTTATCATAATGAGTTCTGTGCGGAAGAATTTCTCTGAGCACAAGGTCTATGCAGCGCACCACACAGACCATTTAAAGGACAAGTCGTATGCTTTCTATAGGGAAGTAGAAACGCCTACGTTGCGAAGTCTGGGCTTCTTTGGGAGAAGTAGTATGGGACGCCGTTCCAGGCAGTTCGGCGTCAGAGGGGTCTCGCCGAGAGCAATCATAGCGCTCTTTATCTCGGCATACTTGACGACTTGATATGATACTTGCTCAGTGTTTACATTCGATAAGGAGAAGTGGAGAGAGAGAATACGAAAGCGAGCGTATGAAGGTCATGTTCTGATTGGCGTCAGTGCGATCTTCCTCATTGGCTTTTTCATCACAACGGGATTAGGTGGGATCTAGGCCCATCACTGCGTGTTGAGATCGAAGTGCACAGGTATGGTGTCGACCAAGAGCAATCGTCAGAAGCTGGATGAACATATGGTGATGCTGAGGAGCCAATGGGGAGACTATGAGACGAGGATGGCGCAGTATAGGGAGAGGAACAGCGCAGGGAAGAGGAAAAAATTGAGTACGTCAGTTGTGGCGGCGGATGATTGACCTGATGTGATGTTTCCAGCATCTGGCCTTGTTTTACGTTGTGTGTGTTGGTAATGTGGGGGAACTGGAGGTCTATACAGCCCTTGGACCGTGGGGAACGATCATTGTCATTGGTCTCTGGGGCGGAGGTTCGGTTTTTGATAATTCGCTAAAATTTTGGTAAGTATAACATATGCCGCTTGTCGTCACTTCACCAGTAGTAGTAGTAGTAGTAGTAGTAGTAGTAGTAGTAGTAGAGCGCTCGGTTCTGCCTTGAAATACGCTCGAGGGAGGCCTTGAAAGTAACTCCATGAAAACTGCCAGGCGAGAGGGATCCAACTTGGCCCCTTCTGCAGTAGGTCGTCATCATTCGTAAACTGATGATGGAACGGTATCATCAGCTCCCACAGCAGCATGGGTAGCAGTGCCTGGATGATACAGGCTGTATCATCACCATTGGAAATGGTGATGAATGGGAAGTTGATTCTCCAAAGGAACGGCGATCGGCTGAAGGGACTCGTCTAGGTTCGAGTTCCATCTTTACTATCGGGTTACCACGAGGTCGGGATCCCGACCTGGAAAAGATTGAGGAAGTGAATATAGCCGCTATGAAGTGGTGACGATCCTGTCATCTCAGTGTGCTATTGTACGCCCTCCTGTTCTCTCGTCACTACCTGAACATGGTTCTTATACTACCGCCAGGCGGATGAGGCCTCTCATGAGAGGTAAATGTTAATAGGAGTGTCTGCCAGGTATCGACATTCGCACAGGAATCCATATGGAAATGGACGCAGGTGACTTCACATCATCAGTACTGCTGCATCACAAGATGCACTCGCCGCCAGGCCCTCGAGGGTTAAGACTTCGAACTCTCGAGTTGGTCCATGAAATAGGCTCTGTGAAATAAAGGGATGACGCTTCCATCCATAAGGGATCAGTGTGTCAACAAACTGTCGACCTCACCCGTCATGTTCGCCATGATACTTGATCTCTCACTTGTGCATCTGGGGGAGATACGACGTCCGTATCACCACAATTCCAAAGTTTTATGATCTATACCATCCGACACTGTATCAGAAATCACCAATATGTGCAAGCCCTAGGATGTGCAGCTGGCTGGGTACTCTGGGGCTTGCTACCGAGATGGTGCTCAGTTTGTTATGGTATCGTCTGATCGATGATGTCTCGGTTGATATTCCGCCCGGCTATCCGAACGCTATCACCATCGACCGACCGCCGCCGCCTCCTCTTCTCACTGCAACAGCTTCGACAGGGACACCAGTAAGACGTCTATAGTCTATCATTAGGACTGTTAACGGGAACAGGTACTCACCGCTGATTAAGAGGAATCGAATACCGTTTATCAACTTTGAGACGGGCGCGCCAAAAGCGGTAGATGAAGTCTTTCATCTGCACTGTGCTCATCGATGCTTCCGACAGAACATGTCCCAGCCGTCGGTGGTCACGCCGTTCACACAGGAGAAACAGCGAAAGATTCTCAAGCTGGTGAACGAGACAGCACCATTGAGGTGGGCAATCGAATTATCGCTCTTTGATGCCGACAGGATTTTTTCAGGCTTTTTCGTGGTCGTGTTATTCCACAACTGAGTACCTTCCGATTTCGAGGAGGAGGTTGGGAGCTGCTATTCAGGCCTGGCGCATTTTAGGCTATGGCTTAGGTCGGCTCATGACGGGCCAAATCGGCGTCTTCCATCGAGGAGGAGGCCATCGTCAACGACTCCGTCTTATCGACTACAAGCGCGGCCGGAAGGATATCTACGCCACCGTCTTGCGAATTGAATACTGCCCGGGACGGTGAACTGCCTTGTCATCTTCTCGTGCATCGCTCCGCTCAGGACCTCATTTCTAGCTTTGATACAGTACACTGATGGAGTTCTCTCGTATATAGTAGCACCGGAGACACTGCGCCCGGGAGACCGAGTGAGGCAGGCTCAGAAGTCCCGTGCCTGAGCTGAGATCAGGTCGTGGCCAGCGAGAAAGCGCCGATCACTCCGGGCAATAGTCTGCCACTGAGGAACATACCCGCTGGTACCATCATTCACAACCTGGAACCCCGGCCTGGTGAGAATCAGCTTGGACATTCTCATGATGATGACAGGCCAGGTGCGGGCGGACAGATCAATAGGTCTGCTGGTTGCTTTGCGGCTATCATGTCAAAGGATTCCCAGTGGGCTACGATTAAGCTTAACTCCACTGAGATTAAGAGGTTCCCTCTGGACTGTTGGGCGGTGGTCGGACAAGTAAACGACATGCCTTTCCATCTTATGGTCGAGTTGTGCCGGATAGGTTGGCAACGCGAATTTCTGGGCGCGCGCTAAAGGCCACTGTCGAGTGAAGCGGTGGCTTGGATGGAGAC